CCCTCAACCCCCCTCTCCCTACCCCCACCCTACCTCAACCTCTCCCTACCCCCACCCCTACCCTCAACCCCTCTCCTACCCCCACCCCTCAACCCCTCTCCCTACCCCTTCCCTTCCATCACCCCCCAACCTTTCCCTACCCCTCTACCTCCTCCCTACTCCTAATCCCCCCCCTTGCTCCTATACCACTGCCTTTCCTACCCACCCCCCCAACGCTGCCTCTACCTCCGACCTCCCTCCTCTACCCCCCAACCCCTACCTTCTTCCCCCACCCCAACCCCTACTTACCCCCCCTCCCCTCCTTCCCCATCCTTCCCTCACACACACCGCCAACTTTCCAGTTTCTGTACGGTATATGGAGATTACTATGAATGAATGAATAGATGGAGGATGAATGGAGAGAGATGTTGTAGATGGATGAATAGATAGATGGATGAATGGTGATGGATGTGTCTTAGGCCTGTGATGTGTGTTGTATTTGTGATAGCCGGATATTATAACAACTTTTAACCTAACTGATTCACCTCCCTCCTTTACCATCATTTTCTTTAAAGTCTCCCCTCCCTTCCTCGACTCTCCCTCCCCTTCCTCGACTCTCCCTCCCTTCCTCGACTCTTCTCCCTTCCTCGACTCTTCCTCCCTTCTCGACTCTCCCTCTCTCCCTTCCTCGACTCTCCCTCCCTTCCTCGACTCTCCCTCTTCCTCGACTCTTCCTCCCTCGACTCTCCTCTCTCCCTTCTCGACTCTCCTCCTTCCTCGACTCTCTCTCTCTCCTTCCTCCTCCCCCCAAGGGAGTAAAATGGCCAATTTTATATTCCCAGGAGCGTGATATCCTTTATTAGCTTCTCTTGTGACGAGGACGGAGCGTTCACGGGCAGTTTAATGATGGTGGCCGTAGTAGTGGCAGGAGTAGTTGTAGTAGTAGTAGCAGTCGTGTAGTCATTTACCCCCAAAATAAAATAACGAAAAATAAACTAAGCAAAATAAAATAATAATAACCCACAATTTACAACTACCTGTATATATTAAACCATCTGTAACCATTCACACTTTAATATACCAACCTCATCACCTCTATACTTCACTACATATATTATCACCTACATCATTTAATAACCGGAAAATTAATAACACTACAGATTATATATTATATCCCGGATTATATTATTATTGCATTATATTATCTTATATAATGTTACGGTATGTATAAATTATTTTATATATTTAATCAATTGTGTATATATATATATATATGTATGATATTTTGGCTATAAATTTTACCCAGATATGTGCCTTCACAATCTCTCTTTATCTATCTTATCTCTTATCTCCTTTCATCCTTTAGTCTCTACTGCTCTCCGTTTCTCTCATATCTCTCTCCGTTTTCCCCATCTCTCTCTCCTTCTCTCTCACATATCTCCGTTTCTCTCATCTCCGTTCTCTCATCTCTGCTTTCCTCATATCTCTCTCCTTTTCTTTCATATCTCCGTTTCTCTCTATATCTCTCTCCGTTTCTCTCATATCTCTCCTGTTTCTCTCTATATCTCTTCCGTTTCTTTCATATCTCTCTCCGTTTCTCTCTATATCTCTCTCTCTGCTTCTCTCATCTGTCTCTCTGTTTCTCTCATATCTCTCTCCTTTCTCTCATATCTCTCTGTTTCTCTTCATCTCTCTCCTTTCTTTCATATCTCTCCGTTTCTCTCTATATCTCTCTCCGTTTCTCCCATCTCTCTCTCTCCTGTTTCTCTCATCTCTGCCCGTTTCTCTCATCTCTCCGTTTTCCTGTTTTCTCCCTCTCTGTTTCTCTTCCCTCATCTCTCCGTTTCTCACATCTCCGTTCTCCTATATCTCTCTCCGTTTCTCTCATCTCTCTCTCCGTTTCTCTCATCTCTCTGCCCGTTTCTCTCATCTCTCACTCTGTCTCTCCCGTCACTGAGGTGTTTGTTATCAAGGGCTCACCTGGCAGACAGTTTACCTGGATCAATCAGTATTATTATTGTAGTTTTCATTAGTGTAATAATAATAATAATAATAATAATAACAACAACAATAATAACAACAACAATAATAACACCAACAACAATAACAACAACAACAATAACAACAACAATAATAACAACAGCAATCATAACAACAACAATAATAATAATAATAATAATAATAATAATAATAATAATAATAATAACAATAATAATAATAACAACAATAATAATAATAATAATAATAATAACAACAATAATGATAATAACAACAACACTAATAATAATAATAATAATAATAATAACAGCAACAATAATAATAATAACAACAACAATAATAATAATAACAACAACAATAACGACAACAACAATAACAACAACAATAACAATATAATTTTACCCAAACAACAACACACAGGGATCAATGTCAAAATCAAAACATCAATCCACCGTCTCTAAAATGTTTAAAAACTTTCAATATCACGTCGTCAAAGTTCAATCGACTGGGAACTTTGTTAGACCATAAACCGGGTATTATTGCCTTAACACCCGTCACCTGGAACTTTCCCTTGTAAAACTGTGGGTAATTTACCTAAGTTGGGTCACTTTACATTTGAAGCTCTTTGGACTTTGTTATAATTCTGCCTCCTGTTGGCTTCATGTTGAGTGTTGTTGTTGTTGTTTTGTTGTGGTTATTATTTTTATTATAGTTGATTATTATTATTTTTATTGTTGTTGATGTGATTCTATTTCTTCTTATTATTATTATTATTATTATTATTATTATTATTATTATTATTATTGCTGTTGTTGGTGGCGGTGTTATTATTATTATTATTGTTGTTGTTGTTGTTGTTGTTGTTGTTGTACTGGTAAGCTACGGTCCCTCTATGTCTAAGCCGAGGATCGCCGCCCCTTCCTCCCTTCCCCCTTAATCTTGATCTCATAAGGGGGAGGGGTACAGTATAAAGGGGTGTTCAGTGTAAGGGAGTGGTCAGTGTCAAGGTGTTTAGTGTAAGGGTGTTCAGTGTAAGGGGTTCAGTGTAAGGGTGTTCAGTGTAAGGGGGTGTTCAGTGTAAGGGGGTTCAGTGTAAGAGGGTCCAGTGTAAGAGGGTCAGTGTCAGGGGGTTCAGTGTCAGGGGGTTCAGTGTCAGGGGGTCCAGTGTCAGGGGGTCCAGTGTCAGGGGGTTCAGTGTCAGGGGGTTCAGTGTGTGTTTTTGCGTCGTATCAGTGTTTATCTACTTGTTTACACATATTGTTTGTGCGTTTGTTAGTGTGTATGTTTGTGTGTGTATCTCCGTGTGTGTTTGCCTGGGAGCTTCTACTCGTGTGTGTGCGTCTGTGTGCGCGTGTTCGTGTAGGCATGAAGTTTATACCTGTCATCTTTCGCCAGTATCAGCCTTAATGAGGGACTACATAAGGTTCATTTTCTTAATTACAGCGAGCCACGTAATTACCGGGGGAGCCGCTATTGCCATCAAGCGAGCATGATATTTACGACCAACCTCTCCCTGCCGTCAGTTTTGTGAGAGTCGGACATTAGACTTCCGGTTAACGATGCACTTAGAGAATAGTTTAATTATTATTTGAACGTTTGTGGAAATACCGGAGTGAGTGTAAACGTTTCCTATATTGTTTGAGCCAAATTTAAACCGGTCGGCCAATAAACCAGAAACTGCGTTCGGTTTTTATAATTCCATTTTTCTAAACTATTAATTATTATTTTTTTCCTACAGGGATATTTATTTATAACCCCCCAAAAAATATATATATAACTAAAAAAAATAATGAGTAGAATGAGAGTATGTTATAGTTAATAGAGTCGTTTTTAAATACAGTATATAGCAACACGGAGTCGACGCGTCCTATCAGTGTTCATAAAGGAGTGAAAAAATAATAATTATTCCTCAACTAATTTATAATATTTGAAGATATTTTTAGCTCGTGTTATCGGAAGTAGTTTTATTTTTTTATTATACAGAATATTTTTATTTTTTATTATTTCCAAATGTGTATTACCCACACTATCCACACCGCCTACGCTACCCACACTATCCACACTACCCACACTATCCACACTATCCACACTATCCACACTACCCACACCATCCACACTATCCACACCACCCACACCACCCACACTACCCACACCACCCACACTACCCACACCACCGTTATGAACGTCATTATACGTTTACTTTACGTACTTGCAGCGTTATATATTGACTTATCACAAAATATTCCTTCATATTTTATTTAAACAAACCCAACTAAATACTAATCTCTCTCTCTCTCTCTCTCTCTCTCTCTCTCTCTCTCTCTCTCGGCCAATCACGAAAAATAATAAATAAATACAAATTCAACTTTTCAAGAATATTTTTTTTTTGTAATGTCTCCCGGATTTGTTATAAACTTTTCCAATATATTTCTTTGTCTCTCTTTGGATGTCTGTGTCTGTCTGTCTGTCTGTCTGTCTGTCTGTCTTTTTACAACGATGTCAGTTATTGTTATTTTATATTTTTTATTTGTTTTTTTATTCGTTGGTTTTATTATATATATTATTTATTATTTAATGGTGGTATCTTGGATGGTATAACAGTGTTGCCCATGGTACTAATGATATCTCCCAGGCATTTTGTCCCCAGTCTTAATGCTTAAACTAATATTCGAATTGTTTCCTCGTCAGTTATACCAGTCAGCATTTTCCTCCTCTCTCTTTTTGTCCTTTCCTAATTTTATTTACTCATTTGGTTTTTCACTTGCTTTAATTTGCTTAATTTTCTTTATTCATTTGCTTTTATTTCTTCGTTATTCTCACCTTTTTTTTATTTTTTTTTCTCTTACGTTTTTCCATCTTATCATTTATCTTGTTTCTCTATTTTCCGTGATTATGATTCCATTCCCGAGAGAGGGAGAACCAGTCGTGTCAATCATCTTGTTTATCCTAGAATAAAAAAAATATGGCGGGAAAAATATATAACAATGTTTTGGCGGGAAATAACCTATCTATTTTTTTTCCAGGATATAGTCAGATTTCCTCAAACCTGGTTAGTGATTCTTGAAAGAATTTATATATAAGTGAGGAAAGATATATATTTTGTGTGTGTATATAATTACTGGTATATATTGGAAAAATATTAGTGAAGGTTATGGTAATTTAATTAATCCCGTTACTGGTTAATATTATTACAAGACTCGTTACACCATCCTGGGAAAAGTAAGATAACTGAGTAACGTCTCCTGGGATAAAAATAATCTTAGTAGAGTATCCTGGGAAAAATTAAACACTCCTCTACCGTCTTGGGAAAAATAAAGAACCTCTAGACTGTTCTGGGAAAAATTAAACACTCTTCTACTCGCCTGGGAAAAATAAATTACCTGATTAAAGTACGCGCTGGTGAGGAGTAATATAATTAAAGTGTTTCCTTGAAAAAAAAAACTTAAAAGTGTTTGAGAAAAAGCAAGTACTGTTTAAACTTTACTGACAAAGATATTGAAGATATTTAAATTGTGTGAAATAAAGAAAAAATTTATTGTGTTCTAGAAAAACAAAATATATTCTAGACACTCGTGGTTAATCATTACGTCATCTCAGCAGACGATAATCCTGGGATAAAAAACGCAAGACCATAGTAAGCCGTGACGTCATCCCGTGGACTGCAGGCGGGAGGACCGGGGGTGGAGAGGTAACACCCCCGGGGACCCCAGCTGGCTGTGGCCTGAGTCCCGTACCCCAACATGGCGGAGTTAGCGACCTGGGAAGCTGTCCTTGCCCTGACCTGTGTCCTCGCTACACTTCTACAACAAGGTCAGTGATAAAACATGTTTAGTTCTGGTTTATTTTTAACACTCAGATGGGTTACCACATGAACAGTCACGCCAAAAAAGTATCTTAACCTAACCTAACCTAACCTAACTCTCAAGAGGATCAGGGGGTCTTGTCACCGGTGTGTGTGTGTGTGTGTGTGTGTGTGTGTGTGTGTGTGACGAAGATGGATCTGTGTGGATCTTTATAGTGAGGTTAAAGGCGGCAGGTGGCGTCTTGTTTCTTTTACACCGGTACAGGTAATGAGGAGGTGTGGTGATTAATGTGTGTGTGTCTGTCTGTCTGTCTGTCCGTGTGTGCTTCTGTTGGTGTATATTCGTATGTTTTTGTGTGTATGTATGTGTGTTTCTGTGTTGGTGTGTATGTATGTGTGTATCTACTATATATGTGTTTGTGTATGTATATGTGTTTCGTATATATGTATGTTTCTGTCCAAACCATCGTGTCAGGTTGAGTTTTGGTATGTATGTATGTATGCTGGGTGAAACTATGGGCAAGTTTCTTTACGCCATTTGGCTCTGTCTACCCAGCAGTAATTGGGGACCTGGATGTTAATCGATGTGTGGATCGTGTTCCGGGGTAATGGTTAGCCAGTGCAGTTGGCGAGTTGTCCGGTTTTCTCGGACTATTCCTTGACACTGGGTCATGCAGCTCGTTAACTCAGGGTGTGGTTGTTGTGTTGGTGACAGCTTTTACACCTTAAACAAATTCACGCCTAGGTGGCCCTTGGGCCGGCCATCCTCGTTACACGAGGGGCAACCATTATATTATTATTATTTTGTATGTATATAAGTATGTTTCTGTATATATGTATGCATGCATGTATGTATATATGGTAGTAGGCAGCTATCAAACAGGGAGGTACTACCGCCTGGGAGGATATTGGAAGCATAATGTGTTGTCTAATGGTGGACCCTGCTGCCATATGTGACCAAGACCCAGGTTGATGATCTGACTTTCTGCCTCATTTACACACAATTGCAGGGTCTCAAGTGTTTCTCTTACTGGACAACACAACATACATATATTGTTTCTTATTCTTGATTGATTTTTTCGTTTTTGTATTTATGGTTATTATTATTATTTTTATTATTTTATTTTTATTTTTAGTATTTTGGTATTAATTTGTATGAATTATAATGATGATAATAGTAGTTCTTATTATTATTATTATTATTATTATTATTATTATTATTATTATTATTATTATTATTATTATTATTATTATTATTATTATTATTATTATTACATTTTCGCCCCCCAGGCCCTGGTGTGGGTCAGTGACCTGTGCCCTGGTTGGCTAATCCCCGTAAAAAAGAAGAAAAACTCTGTATATATGTACATGTATGTGTCCATGTTAGGTTGAGTTTTGTATTAAGTATTATGATTCTGTTGTATTTTATTTCATGTTTTTGGGTCTGTTGATGACGATGACGAGTGATAGCGTCGAAACGTTTGTCGAATAGATATGTTGCTGTCTGTCTATATACAGTCATACATACATACATACATTCATACATACATACATTAAAGGTTAGGAGGATATACAAAACCAGCACAATGTTATACCATGATCAATGTTCGTCATTTGGCCTCGTAATCCACCAAATTTATGTTACATGAGATTGTGTTGTGTTGTGATCAGTTGTAGCACGGTGGGGATCTGCAGTGTGTTGCGTTGTGATGCGTTGTGTTGTGTTGTGATGAGCTGTGTTGTGATGAGCTGTGTTGTGTTGTAGTACGGTGGGGATCTGTAGTGTGTTGTGTTGTGTTGTGTTGTGTTGTGTTGTGTTGTAGCACGTTGGAGGTTTGTATTGGGTATTGTCAAGAGAGATTATATTCTGGTGTAGCATGATTGAGACTGCTGCCAATTTCCTGCGGTTAGTTTCTCCGTGTGTGTGTGTGTGTGTGTGTGTGTGTGTGTGTGTGTGTGTGTGTGTGTGTGTGTGTGTCTGTGTCTGTTGTTCTCTATATCTCATGAAGATTTTCTAAATAGTCATAATAAAATTTTTTTGTTTTTATCGTAATTATTATTGAGATATTTTGTAATAACTGTTTTAATTATTATTGTTATTATTATTTTTATTTTACTTGTATTCGTGTTGTTGTTGTTCTTATTTTACTTATATTCTTCTTGTTCTTCTTAGTATTACTATTATCATCATCATCATCATTCCTCTTATTCTGTATTCATTACTACTAACACTTCTTTACACTTCCTCCCCCCTCTCCGCCCCTCCTCGTACCTGCAGTAGCCCGAGGGGGGGTGTTAGGGGTGAGTTATCGGGGTGTTATCATCAAGGTAGTTATCTTCCTGTGAGCGAGGTCGTCCAGGCTATTAAGATAACAGGTTTAACTCCAGGACATAGGAAGAATGCGTCCTGGAAGCTTGGGAGGTTAGGTGAAGGGCTGAGGGCTTGTTGGTTCGGTTAGGTTTGGTTGGTTTAGGTTAGGTTGGTTTAGGTTAGGTTGGTTTAGGTTAGGTTGGTTTAGGTTAGGTTTGGTTGGTTTAGGTTAGGTTTGGTTGGTTTAGGTTAGGTTTGGTTGGTTAGGTTTGGTTGGTTAAGGTTTGGTTGGTTTAGGTTAGGTTTGGTTGGTTTAGGTTAGGTTAGGTTATAGTATCCAACCTAACATAAAGAGAGGAAGGAAAAATATATACGTTTTGTGAGTCACTGTATACAATCAGAGCTTCAGTAATAATTATGTTCCGTCATCCTTGGGAAAAATAATGATGTGGGCGGCCCGCGGTCCTCTGGGTGTTGGCTGCTGGGTCTTTATGTTTACCAGAAAAAATAAAACAAACCTTACATTATTTTTAGTTTTTTGGGTGGTGGTTGGGTGGGAAGGGGTGATGGGTGGTTGGGGAGTTTTTTTGTTCACTGTTGTGAATATATTGAGTTAACGGTGCAGTAATACGCCTTTTCGGTATAAGATAAACTTTTACAGGTACCACATCCCGTTTCAACCCCTCCCTCTCACCTTCCCCCTCTCCCCCACCTCTCCATTCCCTACCCCTCCCGCGTGCCAGTAAAATCCATCAAGTCGTATCAGAAACGATGCCCACACACACACAAGGCTGAGTAAACATAGACGATAATCACACACACACACACACTGCCAGCAGGTCCTACTTAGGGAAATATTATAAGCGATTCAGATTATAATTTATCGGACAGGAAAACCCGGGATTTTGTTTTTTATCTTTACGTGACTTTAGTGCGCTGCAAAAACATGAAATTTCAGGCGATAACGAATGCTTTCTTTTAACATATTCAACGTAACAACCGTAATTCTTTATTTAAAGTAATAATAATTATATAAATACCAATAATAATACATTTAAAAATAAAAAAACCCAATAACTAGATAATCAATAACATAACAGAATATTAATAAAATCGAAAAGATGATATTTATTCTAGGCACGTTGTCCCCCGCCCAGCCAAATGGTAAACAAACCAAGGTGGACGTGTGGTGGGCAGCAAGAGATATTAAGAGACTTGCTAATGGCACCAATAGGGGTAAGGGGGAGGGGGGGGGGAGTTCACCAAGTTTGAAGACAGTTTAGTAAGTAAAGTGAAAGTGAGCAGCTGAGATGGATCCATTAACGTACTTTAAGAAGAAAATGTATCCTCGCCGTCCAGGCCATTAAGGTTGGGTTTTTGGGTTGTCGGTCACGTGCGATGTTGCCATGGTGATGGTTGTACAGTTCTGCCATGGTGATGGTTGTACAGTTCTGCCAAGGTGATGGTTGTACAGTTCTGCCATGGTGATGGTTGTACAGTTCTGCCAAGGTGATGGTTGTACAGTTCTGCCAAGGTGATGGTTGTACAGTTCTGCCAAGGTGATGGTTGTACAGTTCTGCCAAGGTGATGGTTGTACAGGTCTGCCAAGGTTGATGGCTAGGCTGTGTTCTGCCAAGGTGATGGTTGCATGTTCTGCCAAGGTGACGGTTTGTACAGTTCTGCCAAGGTGATGGCTGTACAGTAATTGCCAAGGTGATGCTGGTTGTACAGGTCTGCTATGGTGATGGTTGTACAGGTCTGCCAAGGTGATGGTTGCATGGTCTGCTAAGGTGATGGTTGTACAGTTCTTGCCAAGGTGATGGCTAGGCAGTTCTGCCAAGGTGAGGTTGTACAGTGCTATGGTGATGGCTGTACAGGCCCTGCCAAGGTGATGGGTTGTACAGTGTCACAAGGTGATGGTTGTACAGTTCTGCCAAGGTGATGGTTGTACAGTGTTGCCAAGGTGATGGTTGTACAGTGTTGCCAAGGTGATGGTTGTACAGTGGTGTGACACAAAACCCCGTTAAGGACTACGTGACACAGCGACCCGGTTAAAAAAGGACCCCTGGGGAAGAAGGATATATACGGATCATTGATTTTATCCGACATCTTTGGTCAACCTGTTAGTGTTCCCCAGACCCTTTACCAGCATGCGACACACACACACGCACCACACACACACACACACCACACACACACACACACACACGCGCACACCCCAATAACACACCACACACACACACCACAACACACACACACACACACACACACACAACCACACACACCACACACACACACACACACACACACACACACACACACCACACACACCACACACACACACACACACACACACACACACACACACACACATCATCAATAATAATAATAACACACACACACACACACACACACACACTATATCTCCTACACTACCGAGAGACTCCCAGGTTACTCTACACAGACAGACAGACACAGACAGACACAGACACAAATAAAGATATCCTCAATAAGTGCCCTGAACCAACAGTGATATATCCAAGTGTCTTCATATAATTCTGATGTGGTTCCCTGCTGTATACTGCTGCCTGTTTGTTTGTTTTGTTTGTGAGGGAACTGAAGAGGGGGGGGGGAGGGGGGAGGTACTGAAGTGAGAAGGAGAAGAGAAGAGTGGAGATAGGGGAGGAGGTGAGGTAA